GAGAGCAGGCTCCGAGGTGCACCCAGGTTCTCAGGGCTGTACCATTTGCAAGTGCTGCCACCTCCTGGACTTCTTTCTCTGGGCACTCCAGCTGGAGAGCCTGTCCAGCTCCACGAGCTCCCTGGGACCAGTGATGCATCACGGTTAAGTGCATTTGCTTGTTATTTACACTATTGTCCCCAGGACCCCATCTATTACCTAGAGCCCTCTTTCTGATGTAATTGAGATTTTTTTTAAACTTAGATGCATGAGAGTCCCATGTCTAATCACTCACCCTGCATGCCCAGGCTCTAGGCTCCAAGCCAAGGTTCTGCAAAGATAATAAATACCAGACACTGAAACTAGCCCATCAGGCCCTGTTCTTGAAAGGCTGCAGCTTAGACCTGGCAGGAGGAGACTCTGGTCTCATTCTGGAACTGAGGCTTGGGCAGCTTCCACTATTTACTTCTGCTGGAAACCCACTGAGAGGGAAGCAACAGGGGGTAGCTTCATCCATCCACAGCTGCCTCTAGCCCTGCCCTGATTAAATCTGTAACCACCTTCTTACCCAGGGAGGCTCTGACCTAGATACTTAAAAGTGTGGGTAGTACAAAATAACAATCATAGAATATTAAAATCTCATCATGTTAGAGATAGAAGGACTGGTAGAGATCATCTGAGTTCACAGAACACAGGTGAAAAATCCCCTAAGAGGTAACTTTTCAAGTTCGATCAGCCAGTTATTGGTTAAGCTGGAGTAAGAGCTGGGATTGCCTGATAGAAGCCCAGGTATCTTGCCCATCACTCAATTATAACTCACTTATTAAAAAAAAGGCATAGCAGAAGAGCATGACAATTGGTGGGAAAAAAAAGTCTGGGAATCTTAATTTTATCAAGTGATTTGATGCTCACTAAGCTTCTTTTCCACAAATGTAAAATGTGTATGATATGATCTTGCATATAAGTTTTCCTAAATAAAATAACAAATATGTAGCACTTAGCACAACACTTTTTGCATAGTAAATGCTGACTATATATGACTATTTATGTTAGCCTTTATTATTTATTTATACTATTAAAAATTCTGCCCAGCTATTTATACAACAACAACAGGCCAGTGTCTCAAAAATAATGATCATTTAGAAAAAAAGGACGGGCTTCCATAATTATATGAATATAGGGTAGAAGCTACAAGCATCCACATGTTGCAATTACCAAAAAAGGTCACATCTCCTCCCAGGTAACATAAAGCTATAGTGCAAACTCAGGTGCCAGTTCTGGCTCAACACTTGTGGATTCAACAGCAAAGCTGAAAGTCTGTATTCACTCATCATTAATTTCCTGAGCAGATTCTGAGAAAGCAAGAAAACACACCTAGTTAACAAAAGATTGCATAGCATTTATTACATGCTAAGCACTGCTATGCCTTTCTTTGGGACTGGAATGAAAACTGACCTTTTCCAATCCTGTGGCCACTGCTGAGTTTTCTGAATTTGCTGGCATATTGAGTGCAGCACTTTTACAGCATCAGTTCACTGATTCTTAAAATGTCAACATTCACTCTTGCCAGTTACTTCCAATTTGCCTTGATTCATGGACCTAACATTTCAGGTTCCTGTGCAATATTGTTCTTTATAGTATCAATTTTACTTCCATCACCAGTCACACCCACAACTGGGTGTTGCTTTTACTTTGGCTCCGTCTCTTCATTCTTTCTGGAGTTATTTCTCCACTGATCTACAGGAGCATATTGGGCACCTACAACTGGGGAGTTCATCTTTCAGTGTCCTCTCTTTTTGCCCTTTCATACTGTTCATGCGGTTCTCAAGGCAAGAATACTGAAGTGGTTTGCCATTCCTTTCTCCAGTGGACCACATTTTGTCAGAACCCTCCACAATGACCCGTCCGTCTTGGGTGGCCCTACACAACATGGTTCACAGTTTCATTGAGTTAGACAAGGCTGTGGTCCATGGGATTAGATTGGTTAGTTTTCTGTGGTTGTGGTTTTCAGTCTGCCTGCCTTCTGATGGAGAAGGATAAGAGGCTTACGGAAGCTTCCTGATTGGAGAGACTAACTGAGGGGGAATCTGGGTCTTGTTCTGATGGGTGGGGCCATGCTCAGTAAATCTGTTGATGGGTGGATCTGTGTTCCCTCCCTGCTATTTACCTGGGGCCAAACTATGGTGGAGGTAATGAAGATAATGGTGACCTCCTTCAAAAGATCCCATGCATGTACAGCTACACTCAGTGCCCCCAACCCTGCAGCAGGCCACCCTCAACCCAAGCCTCTGCTGGAGACTGGTTTTAGAAAAGGCAGAGGAACCAGAGATCAAATTGCCAACATCCGCTAGATCATCAAAAAAGCAAGAGAGTGCCAAAAAAAAATCTACTTCTACTTTATTGACTATGCCAAATCCTTTGACTGTGTGGATCACAATAAACTGTGGAAAATTCTGAAAGAGATAAGGATACCAGACCACCTCACCTGCCCCCTGAGAGATCTGTATGCAGGTCAGGCACCAACAGTTAGAACTGGACATGGAACAACAGACTGGTTCCAAATAGGAAAAGGAGTACGTCAAGGCTGTATATTGTCACCCTGCTTATTTAACTTCATGGAGAAGAGTCTTGAGAGTCCCTTGGACACCAAGGAGGTCAAACCAGTCAATCCTAAAGGAAATCAGTCCTGAATATTCACGGGAAGGACTGATATGAAACTGAAACTCCAATACTTTGGCCATCTGATGGGAAGAGCTGACTCATTAGAAAAGACCCTGATGCTGGGAAAGACTGAAGGCAGGAGGAGAAAGGGATGACAGAGGATGAGATGGTTGGATGGCATCACCGACTCAATGGACATGAGCTTGAGTAGACTCCGGAATTCGGTGATGGCCAGGGAGGCCTGGTGTGCTGCCGTCCATGGGGTCGCAAAGAGTCAGACACAACTGAGCGACTGAACTGAACTGAACTGAGGCACTACTCTAAATGTTTTACAAAAATTAACTGAATTAACCAACTGAATTCAATGAGAAAAGTAAAGCAATAAGAAGAGAATGTCCATGATATCTACACATTCACCAGCACACACCCACTCTGCCTTCTTTCCTGTCACTGTACATAGGCCATCTGTGCTTCCGACTAAGGCTGTTCCTTCCCTTGTGCACTGGATCCCATCCCCTCTTAGGTTTCCACAGTCATTCAAGCCTCCCCTCTCTCCTTTATTTCATTGGATCATACTAGATCATTCAAAGCAGCATAAATTTATGCCATTTTCCCTCCTATTCAAAAACAAAACAAACAAGATGTACAGACGGGGTTTCGCTGGCGGTACAGTGGGTGAGAATCTTCCTGCCAAAGGAGGGGAGACAGGTTCCACCCCCGGTCCAGAAGAATCCATATGTCACGCAGAGCAACTAAGCCCATGCCACAGCCACTGAGCCTGGGCTCTAGAGACTGAGAGCCACAGCTACCGAAGCCTATATGCCTCGACAAGAGAAGCCACGGCAAGGAGGAGCCTGCCCACTGCTATGAAGCATGGCCCCCACATGACTCACCTAGAGAAAGCCCATGGGCAGCACTGAAAACCCAGAGCAGCCATAAATCAACATGCAAATAAATAACCAGAAACAAATAGACAAGAACAGAAGCACAAATGAATCTCTCTACTCCACTTACCTCCAGTTTTTGCTTCCTTTCCCTCCTCTGAACAAACTTCTCTGAAAGAGTTCCCTGTATTCACTGCCCCCAGTTTCCCTTCTCAATGCACTCCAACCAGTTTTCACTCCCAATGTTCTACCACAACTGCTCATCAGGGCCACCAGGGATCTATTAACTGCAAGGTCAATCTCAGTCTGAATCTTACTGGATCTATAAGCAATAGTTGAAACAACAGACCACTCTAATTGGAACACTGCCTTCTTCCTGGTTTCAGGGAACCACATGTACCTGGTTTTCCTCATATCTCTCTGACTGCTCCTCTTCAGACTGTTTGCTGATTTTTCATCATCACTTCAGATGCTAAATGTTGATGATCTGAATCAATTCAATGGCTTAAGCATCACTAATAAACTAGTGCTTCCAAATCCATATGTTCATCAATGACCTCTCTCTGACCTCCAGACTCATCTAATAGCCTTAAATATCTACCTCTAACATGTTCAAAAATTAAATTTCTAAAATTTGTTCTCTCTTACCCCACATAAGATCTATCAGCAGACTTTGCTAGCTCTAACTTCATTTAGTTGATTTTCATCTAACTCAGAGTCAAAATATTTCACTATGATACACATAGTTCCACAAGAAAAGCTGTTTGAACTAGTAAGTAAATTGAACAAGGGTGCCATATCAAGATCAAAGTAGTTTGGAAGTCAATTGTTTTTCTGTAGGTCAGCAGTGAACAATTAGAACATAATTTTAATACTATTTACAATAGCATCAAAAACTATGGGATGCATAGGAGTAAGTTTAATAAAATATATACACTGAAAACAGCATTTGTGAGAAGAAATAAAAGTAAAAGTGAATTCGCTTAGTCGTGTCCAACTCTTTGCGACCCTGTGGACTGTAGCCTACCAGGCTCCTCCATCCATGGGGTTTTCCAGGCAAGAGTAATGGAGTGGATTGCCATTTCCTTCTCCAGGGGATCTACCCAACCCAGGGCTTGAACCCAGGCCTCCCGCATTGCAGGCAGACTGTTTACCGTCTGAGCCACCATGGTGCTAAAGGTGATTTAAATAAATGAAGAGGTATACTATATTCATGGTTTGGGAAACTCGATATTGTTAATTCTCTCCTAAACTGAGCTATATAATCACTGCAACTTCAGTTAAAAGCTGAGAAACCTTTTTGATAGAAATTAACAAGTTCCAAAGAACCTGGAATAGTAAAACAACTTTAGAAAGAATAAATAAAGTTGAAAGATTTAAACTACTGTATTTGGACGCGGCCCTTGGGGACCTGTTGCCGCCGTAGCTCCCATTCTTAAAAAAACCTCAGCTCGCAGAGGGTCGAAGAGCTGGAACATGAATCTCCAGTACCTAAAGGATCGCCACTACGCGAGCAGCAATGGGAATCCGCGCCTGCCTCACCTCTCCTCCGCCGGGCAGCATCTCTACAGCCCCGCGCCGCCCCTCTCCCATACCGGAGTCGCCGAATACCAGCCGCCCCCCTACTTTCCGCCAACCTACCAGCAGCTGGCTGACTCAGTCGGCCGACCCCTACTCGCACCTTGGAGAGGCGTACGCCGCTGCCATCAATCCTTTGCACCAGCCAGCGCCCACCGGCAGCCAGCAGCAGGCCTGGCCGGGCTGCCAGAGCCAGGAGGGGACCAGCCTGCGCTCGCACCACGGGCGCCCGGCCGGCCTGTTGCCCCATCTCTCCGGACTGGACGGCGGCGCAGTGAGCGCACGCAGGGAGGCCTACCGACGCTCGGACCTGCTCCTGCCCCACTCGCACGCCCTGGACGCCGCGGGCCTGGCCGAGAACCTGGGGCTCCACGACATGGCACACCCGATGGAGGAGGTGCAGAATGTGGACGACCAGCACCTACTTCTGCATGATCAGACAGTTATTCGCAAAGGTCCTATTTCCATGACCAAGAACCCCCTGAGTCTCCCTTGTCAGAAGGAGCTGGTGGGGGCTGTGATGAATCCCAGCGAGGTCTTCTGCTCAGTCCCTGGAAGACTGTCCCTCCTCAGCTCTACATCTAAATACAAAGTGACAGTTGCTGAAGTCCAGAGGCGGCTGTCCCCGCCTGAGTGCTTAAATGCCTCATTACTGGGAGGTGTTCTCAGAAGGTACATGGGGACACGTTGTGGGCATGGTGGTTGGGTAGGTGGTGGGGGATGAAAAATAAAAAAGCACCAGGGAGGTATTTTTAACATTTATGTAACTTTTATACCTAACACTGAATTATAATCGACTGGGGGGAGGGGGACGGCTTAGTACATTTCATCTCTTTTAGAAAGTGCCAAGTGTAGAAAAAAGTGCTAAAACAATGCTAATAAATTCTCATTTGGTTGGAATTTGATTCCATGTATGAAGTGGTGGCATCTGTATTTAGGATAGAGGAGCTCCATGGGTCTGATTCTCCCCAGAGAGTAGTTTTTTTTGTGTGTGTGTGTGTGGTGGGGTGCTGCTGCAGTTTCTACAAGTGAAAATTTATCTGCTCCAGTACAACTTGCAGTGTTCTGTGATTAAAAAACAAAAATGCCGGCGATGCTAAGAAAGATTTTTTAATTTTATGGAGATAAGGACTCCCTGCATCACTTGATTAGGAACGATATAATGTCAAAGGTCTCTGACAGATTTCTGTTTTGATAGCAGGTTAGGCATTTCAACATTTTAAAGTGGTTTCTTGAGAATAGATTTTTTTTTTCTCTTTGCTTAGAGCCAAGTCTAAAAATGGTGGCCGGTCCTTGCGGGAGAAGTTGGATAAGATTGGGTTGAATCTTCCAGCCGNTTTTTTTTTTTTTTTTTTTGCTGTCTGTCATCCCCCAGTCCCAGAGGAGGCTCTGTATTTTGAGAAACTGCGTTGAGTGTACAGATTTTATTTATGCATAATTTAATGGGGTCTGTAAATATGGGTGCACTTCTTATGACTTTTTGAAATGGGATTCGATTTTAATATTAACTTTTAAAGGTGATGGGGTAATCTAAGACACATCTTTAGGTTTTATTCGTATGTACACAGGGTATTAAGAGTTAAGAGGATCTTCAGCTCTGTTCTTGACTCTGGAAGACTCTTATTTAATTGAAACTGTCTGTCCACAAAGCAATAACTTTGTCTTGTTCCTGTTGGGCTGACCCCCCGAAGAGGTACAGTGCGAGGTACAGTGCATGTGGGTGAAAATGGAGTTTTGGAATTGAACTCCTTGCCTGTAATTGTTCCCTAAATAATTGTTGTGTATACGAAACCTGTATAATAAAAAGTATTCTCGATAAAAAAAATAAAAATAAAAAAATAAGCTACTGTATTTGAAGACCTGCTATAAAGCAACAATAATCAGGAAAATGTGGTATTGGTGAAAAAATCAGTATCAGATGATATTAAGAATAAACAGTATCCCCAATATTCTAACCATTAGTGGTACATGTCAGGAAAGTTATGTGGGTTCAGTCACCTCTCAGTCAGACACACACCTTATAGATGTAATGTACTGTTGCTGCTGCTGCTGCTAAGTCGCTTCAGTCGTGTCCAACTCTGTGCAATCCCATAGACGGCAGCCCACCAGGCTCCGCCATTCCTGGGATTCTCCAGGCAAGAACTAGGATCTGTCAAATTTGGAAGGTTCCTGCCTCCACCCCAGCGCCCTATAGCACAGAACTTACTTTGATTCTGTTAGGGTCCTCAGGCAATGTTTTAGGACTTTGGGATACAAAGACTAGTCAAAGTGGTTTTATTGTTCTTTCATTCCCATTAAAAACAAACAAAAAAGATAATATCCACACTGCTCCTGGGGCTTCCCAGGTGGCGTTAGTGGTAAAGAACCTGCCTGCCAAAGCAGGATATGTAGAAGATGTCAGTTGAATCCCTGGGTTGGGAAGATTCCCCAGAAAAGGGAATGGCAACCCACTCTAGCAAGCATTCTTGCCTGGAGAATCCCATGGACAGAGGATCCTGGCGGGCTACAGTCCATGGGGTTGCAAAGAGTCAGACACTACTGAAGTGACTTAGCACGCACACACACACTGCTCCTAGCCCTTGATGGCACTGACATTAGAGTCAGTCAGTCAGTTCAGTCACTCAGTCGTGTCCGACTCTTTGTGACCCCATGAATCACAGAACGCCAGGCCTCCCTGTCCATCACCAACTCCCGGAGTTTACTCAAACTCATGTCCATCACGTCGGTGATGCCATCCAGTCATCTCATCCTATGTCGTCCCCTTCTCCTCCTGCTCCCAATCTCTCCCAGCATCAGGGTCTTTTCCAATGAGTCAGCTCTTCGCATCAGGTGGCCAAAGTACTGGAGCTTCAGCCTCAGCATCAGTCCTTCCAATGAACACCCAGGACTGATCTCCTTTAGGATGGACTGGTTGGACCTCCTTGCAGTCCAAGGGACTCTCAAGAGTCTTCTCCAACACCACAGTTCAAAAGCATCAATT